AATGGAAGAAATACTGTGCCAGGAGGCCAGGAGGCCATCCTGGATCCATTGCTAAATTATTAATTATCCTCAAGTTCTCATTATTATATTTGAACTTCAAAGGTTTCTCCCTACCCCCAATAAAATAAAGTGATACTATTCTCTGTCCTGACTCCTGCCTGAAGTTGTTAAGGTCACGTATGATGTGCTGTTGCTTTCATAAACAACAAAACCCTCCACAAACATGTGCTAGAAAGGAACAGAACTTGACCGCTCGAGCACACGCTGTCTTATCATCACCACTAAGAAGTCCTTAATGACATCTATACATATCTAAATTCAGGAACTGAAATTACACTGTCCCGGGAATAACCAGGGAAGCTTCAGGGAAGAAGGAGAGAAAAGCTGAGGGAATATGGTTTGAAAGTAAACGGATTCCAGAGAGCCCAAAGGTCTCTGGCACTTTTTCTGTGAATATCTCAATATTCCTTTTCCGTTTTTTTTCCCTTGTTGAAATAACTTCCATGAGTAACCCAGAAGATGACTACTCCCCCAAACAAACCCAGATTTATTCCCTAAGATCCCGTTTCTATGCCAGACTTTTTCTTCAGTTAAAAACTCCAGAGAAAGTCCCTTGCGCTAGCCATCTCCTCCCTCTCAACCCACCACAATCCAGTTTCCTCCCTCGTGCTAAACGTACACAAACATCACCAAAGACGACTAAACCACCAACACAGCTGCCCACCTGAGCAATTCTCCCATTTGCTTCCCAGGAGACCTGGGGGGAGTCCTGCCTTCCTCTGCAGTGACAGCAGCCTCTTTTTGTGTCCTCCTCCGTCCCAGGCTGTCCCCACCCTTCTTTCAGGGTCCTCCCCCAGGCACTCACCCCTTGGACTGGAGGGGTAGATCCACCCTCCCCCTTCCTCCAGGAGATTCTGATCCCCCCTTGAACTTTCTATCTCCTGAACCAGCAGGGAGAAGCTCTCATCTGTCTCCAGCCCAGCCCTTTCCTCTCAAGCTTAGTTCTTTTCCTTCTGTCTACCCATTGGACAGTTTGGCCTGATCTCCTCTCTGCGAAGTAATGAGACAGTATTTTCCAGCATTTCCGGCATTGCCCACTCTGCTGCTATTCTGTTCAGTGATCACCACCTACCACCTACCCCTGGGTAGCCTGCAATCATGACAGTCTCCTTTCTTACCTGATCACACCCGACAGACCACATCATCACCTTACCACAGCTCATCAGCTCAGCCTGCCTGATAGCACTGAAGTCCCCAACATCCTCTCCAGCTGCCCTGGCCAACAGTGAACTCTAGACCTCTGCTCCCCGCCCTGTCCCCCAAAGTGTGGAACATGTACTACAATCAGATATGCACAATTAAGGTTTCAAGAAAAACATTCTGGCTCAGCGCCCATAGCACAGCGGTTACAGTGCCAGCCACATGCACCAAGGGTGGCAGGTTCAAACCCAGCCAGGGCCAGATAAACAACTGCAACAAAAAAATAGCTGGGCGTTGCGGTGGGCGCCTATAGTTCCAGCTACTTGGGAGGCAGAGGCAAGAGAATCGCTTAAGCCAAAGAGTTTGAGGTTGCACACGGCACTCTACCAAGGCAACATAGTGAGACTCTATCTCATAAAAAAAAAAAAAAAAGAAAGAAAGAAAGAAAGAAAAATACTCTGGAAGCCCTATCTGTACTTCCAGACAATTTTCAGAAAACATACATCTGATAATGTTACTTCTCCGTTATCTAACCCTGCTCTCAGCTCATCCACTTTTTATCCCTTCCTGTGCAGGAGTCCAATGTTTCTCAAACTTTTAGAAACATCCAAAACGCCTGGAGATACTGTTGCAAAGCTGATTCTGATTCAGTCAGCCTGAGACTACATTTCTTTCTTTCTTTTTTTTTTTTTTTTTTTTTTTTTTGTGACACATTTTGAATAGCAAGGTTCTGGCCATATTCAATTTAAAGTTATGCTGTCATTACTGTAAGCCTCCCTGGCCGGAAGACCTTTTTCCCACCTGTAACTGCCCACTCAACCTTCAAGAGAGTCAAGAAGGTCATTTCCTTGAGAAGAGGACCTTTCAGGCCTTCTCAGACAGAAATGCTCCTCTCTACTGCAGGCTCAGAGCTCCAGGCTGGTACTTCCTTTTGTTGTAAGTCGGCCATTTATTTTTCTGCCTCTGCCAAGCTGAGCTCTCGGACAGCCTCTCTGTCTATACAGTCAGTGCCCGGCACGTAATAGCTACTCAATAAATCTGTACAGAAGGAAAGCCACAAAAAGTTTATAATACATAAACTTTAAGGGAGATGTTTAGAAAACAAGGCTGTTAGGCCACGTCAAGTCTGTCAGTTTGAAGTTACATGGTCGGAAACCTTCAGCTAGAAAAACAAGGAGAATGTACACTAGCATTGCAGAGTCAAACTGCAAAAAAACAGCACCATGCATTCTTTTTTTTTTTTTACACTGTATAAGAAAATAAAATTCCCTGGTTTTTTGACATGAAAACTAAATCTAGAAAATCTTCTGTTTAACATTTAACAGACCCAAACTCAACAAGCACAGTGAGAAACGAACTACCATTTCACCTCTAAATCTGTGTTCGTCTATTTTATGAAGAATCCTTCTGACAATTCTAAGTTTAAACAAACCTTTGTGAAGAGAGTACTCCAGCAGGTTTAATGTAGTCACAGCTGTCAAAATCATGGGCAATGCATCACACTTGAGAGCATTTGAAAATGTGTCAATAATTATAATTAGACACTTGTACCAGATCTAATATACTTTCACTACCCTTTAAATTCAACTGATGGGAAATTAAAACCAGTTTCTTAAAAGTGCAACTCTCAGATCATAATTTAATCCTAAAGTAGATATAAAACCTGTCACACTATAGAGATACAGAGCATTTTACTCAGGAGGAGAAAAGGCCGTGGTATTGTAATATATCATTTTAGGTAAGGTGACCACCTTTAACGCTGGAAGGGTAAAATACATTGTTGAGGTGACATAATCTTCTAATATTTACTTCACTCGTCTGTATTTCCAGATTGTCTCTTCAAAATTACGCAAGATCCAGAGCACAGAGGTAAGTGTTCATGTTTAGCGTTATTTCCTACCCATCTTCTTTTCCTGTACATCCATATGTATATAACAACAAATGTGAAATTGTTCTATGTTTTGTGTTTATATTTATGGAATTGTACTATGCTATTGTACGTAATTCATATAAATGGAATCCCACATGTTTTTAGTGTCCTGATTTTTCTACGTCATGTCACTCTCCATGATCTCTCATTCATTCATTGCAAAAATTTCTCCACGTCTACTATGGATAAGGCAGTAACTAGGCAAAGGATACAGTCACTCTACCAAGTAGACATACACTATTAATATTGGTAGTATGTATACTGACAGTATATAGGTTAGTATATGCAAGGTATAGAAAAGAAGGAAGGATGGAAGAGCCAACAAAAGCTACTTTGAGAAGATAGATTTAAAGTGAAAACTGTCGGCCAGGTGTGGTGGGTCACACCTGTAATTCCAGTACTCTGGGAGGCCGAGGGTGGTGTATTGCCTGAGCTCAGGACTTCAAGACCAGGCTGAACAAGAGTGAGACCCTGTCTCTAGAAATAGCTGGGTGTTGTGGGGGCGCCTATAGCCCAAGCTACTCAGCAGGCTGAGATAAGAGAATTGCTTGAGCCCAAGAGTTTGAGGTTGCTGTGAGCTATGACACCATGGCACTCTACCCAGGGTGACAAAGTAAGACTCTCTCTCAAAAGGAAAAAAAAAAGTGAGAACTGTCCCTATAAATTTATCTGAAATAGTCTTTTTAGTGATTACATAAGATTCTATTTTATGAATATCTATATAAATCAAACCTGTATTGTGTAACATTTAAGTTATTTCCATTTTCTTTTGCTGCTCTACAGCTAAAAGAATACATTTGTATAGTTAAACAGATTTAATAAGAGTTTTTTTAAAAACTAGTAAATAAAGTCTCAAAAATACTCCAGAAAAATTGCATTTATATTAAAAACTCAAAATTTCCAAGTCTTTCAACTTGGAATCCAGATACACTATTTGCTCTTGGGGGAGGCAACACTAAAGAAAACAATGCCGTAAAGGGAATACACATGAATTTTATCTTACATTTTATTTACTGGGGCTTTAATGTTTAAGTATGTCCAGTTGGCTAACCACCAGGAAATCCAATCATCATATGAAACACCACTGATTACCTATCTCAAAATTTCAATAATCCCTATTTTACTTTCTTTATATTACAAAATACTTCAGAAGATCAAAAGCTGGCTCCTCTGCTATGTTCCAAAGTCATAAATAAAATTTTGCTGTTTTTTTTTGAAGACTGTCATATGCGTATTGCCTTTTTTAAACGTATTATAAATATAAAACTTTTTCCCTAACTCTAAAAGTCCTTTGCTGCTATTCCTGATCAACCTGATCAATAATAAAAAGCTGACTATATGAGTTTCTTGGTCACTAAATGCCTACTTACCATTCACTGTATTAAAAAAAAAAAAAAAAAAGATAGCCATGGAAACTCTGCTTTTAACATAAAGCACAAACCAGACGCAGTGCTTTTTTTTTTACTCTGTCGCCCTCGGTAGAGTGCTGTGGCATCACAGCTCACAGCAACCTCCAGCTCTTGGGCTTAGACTCCCGAGTAGCTGGGACTACAGGCGCCCACCACAACGCCCAGCTATTTTTATGCTGCACTTTGGCTGAGGCTGGGTTCGAACCTGCCACCCTCAGTATATAGGGCTGGTGCCCTACCCACTGAGCCACAGGTGCTGCCCCAGACACGGTGCTTTAAAACAATCAAAGTAAAATTGTGGTTAGTCAGGATTCCAGAGCCCAGAGTTCTTCCCAGATTCAAACTTACAAAGGGAAAAAAAAAAAGGCCAAGCTCCATTTACTAGAAGAAACAAAAAGATTGAAAGAGCATCAACAAATTATTAAACTTTAGAAATAACTCAGTCCATGTCCTTTTTTATTGTCTCCATAGACGCTATCAGAAATCGCTAATGCTGACTATGCTGCAGGACAGGGTATTGGGAAAAGTTTTCAATTAGCAATAAACGCTCCTTGGACAAACCTCATTGGCCAGGAGACTGCTGCTGTGCAAAGCTGTCTGTGCCCTTCTTGATAGATGAGAAAAGGAAAACACCTCGAAGACAAAGGTTAGGAAAAAGACTTTCCTGCGCCACGGAACTGTCCGACACCAGAGAACAGACTGGTACTTGAGTCTCAGGAGCTGTTCTCTCTTCTTACCATGCCACAAACACAAAACCAAAACCCAATTCATGGCACAACCTATACTGAAATTGAAAATGCAAAGAGCCTCTGATTCTGCAATGTCAACCCTTGATATTTATCCCCACGTATACAAGAGATAGGTAGAGAGGTACGGATAGAGAGTGAAAGGTGTATCTGTGGATGTGAGACCCCCCAGTGGATGCCTGAAATCTTAAATAGTACCAAGCCTTATACATACAGACTGTCCTGGACGTACACCCTTCCTTCATGTCAACTCACGTATTATGTGCAGGTATTCCTTTTATAACACAAACAGTATCAAAAATATAAAACATCTTAATAAAATTATTTAATTTCTAAGAAAAAGTGTATAGGAACAAATATTCATGTGCTGTCTAGGAATTAGATAAAAATAGAAAATAAAACTACCAATTTGGGCTTAGTGAGTAGGATGCCGGCCCCATATGCAGAGGGTGGAGGGTTCGAATCCAACCCCAGCCAAACTGCAACCAAAAAATAGCCGGGCGTTGTGGTGGGCGCCTGTAGTCCCAGCTTACTTGGGAGGCTGAGGCAAGAGAATCGCTTAAGCCCCGGAGGTGAAAGTTGCTGTGAGCTGTGACACCAGCTGAACTCTACTGAGGGCAACACAGTGAAACTCTGTCTCAAAAAAAAAAAAAAAAAAAATACCAATTTGAATTGAAAAAAAGAAAAGTCACAGTTGTCTGACGCCAAAAGAAGACAAATTCTGCAAACAAAAGAAATGCCCACCAGGAAGAAGTCGAGGCACGGCACCCTCCTCTGAGATTGATTCACCCCACCTTTAAGACAATAAGACTTCTAGGGATCAAAGGGGAACAAAGTAGCAGAAGGGAGAGTGCCGAGGGGACCCTAGCAGATTAAGAAACAATGACTTGGAGGGAATCCTAAGCAAACAAGCTGAGGGGGAAAGAAAACTCATCTGAATTTGAAAAGGACATTCCATTCTAAACTGGCTAAAAGCAATCGTTAATCTCAAGCTGAGTCTTTCTTCCCTAGCATTTATTTCCCAGGTCAGGGCTCCAGCAACCTCCTCTTCACCTTTAAAGGGCCTTGTTAGAATCACTTTCACCCAAATAAGGTTCAGTAACAGAGACAGGAGTTACAGGTGTCCCGTACAGGTGTACCTACCAAACAGCCTATCTGCCTTTTAGTCTACAAGCAGAACTGTTCATCAGTTCCCACGTTCAAAAGTTGAAGACTATGATCCTACTCCTTAATTAGAATAAAGATTTGATTTATTTGCAAGATAAGGCACTTGACCCAAAAAGTCAATTAAGAGACACCCAACTGTTTGCAGCTCGCTATACCTGATCAATAATAAAAAGCTTTTTCCCATTTCCAAAGGGGAGCTGATCCTCTCACCATAACCACATAGGATCCAAGAACCAGCACAAAGCCAAAGGCCCAGACCCTTATTTCCAGGGTCCCAGTACCATTTTCCTACGTTCTCTCAGAACTTTAATCAGCCTTCTTCTATGCTCTGTTCCACCACAACCTCCACAACACCACATTCCTCTCAAACCAGCTCCTCTTGCCAGCTTTTTATTTTCTTTAAATATCTTTTCCATTCTCCCAGTCATCTAGGTTCCAGAAGTCAAGTATGTTTGTCCACCTCCTATCCTCTTCTCATCACAAAGGTAATTTATTTGCCAAGCCCTATGGCTTCTCTAGCCCAAGGGCAGATCCCTAGCTCCATCTATTCTCCTTTCCTCCCAACTTCTGGGCATGCCCCCCTCTGCCGTCAGACCAATCATTCTTGGCCAACAGAAGGCTATTTATGATGGGGGCTTAAACGCATACACCTATAGGGCCAATGCGGTTAGCACACAGAAAGGATGTAGGCCAGGAGTTAAAAGAAAAAGACAGACAGACACCCACCAGCATAAGAATAAACAATAAGTAGCAACTAATGCTGGGCCTGAGCTGTCTGGGAGAAAACAGGATGAGCAGGGACTGTTGCAAATACAGTGCACGTGTGCCCTCAGACTGACACAATCACAAGCAGCTCTGGCAAGTTCCTGCAGGAATACAGTCCTGACACTGCCAGAGTTTTCAATGTTGCAGGAGCAGCAGGAAATCTGACCTTGTTTAATGGGAAATCTCCCCATTTTTAAATGTTGGCAACCATGTCTGAAACAAAAAAATGTTCCCAATAGGACATCAAACAGGGCACAAATGTGAAGTGTATTCAGCTCAGGGGCCACTAGTTTTCAACCTCTGCTACAGAAGGGTTCAAGTCCAGATGTGTGACCTCAAACATATGGTATCACCTCTCCGGGTCTTAGGTTTCTCCTTCTGTTAAACAGGGATGAGAAGAGTAGGCCATCGTGGAGGAGGGTAAGCATTAAATGAGACACTGCAAGGGGCCCTGATCAAGGCCCACCACGCATGTGTCATCTTAACATCATCAGCCCATTCCAAATAAACCAGACTGGGACTCCCACCCTCCCTTTCTAAGCTTGTTTCTATGATACTCACCTTACTGTACTTTATATAGTCAAGTTGTATCACGAAGCACTTTTAACTATGAACTTGATCTTCTTTCCAGTTGTCTCAGGCCTTGCATATCTCCCTGAGAAGCTGCATCTTGGGACACTGAGTCTGATTTGAGGGATTAAAAATAGGTGTAACTATGTTTTGAGTTCCTTTTTGGGTTTGTTTTGTTTGTTTGTTTTTGAGACGGTCTCACTCTGTTGCCCCAGGCTAGAGTGCCTTGGCTTCTGTGAGCCTAGCTCACAACAACCTCAAACTCTTGGGCTCAAGGGATTCTCTTGCCAAGTAGCCGGGACACAGGCACCCGCCACAACACCTGGCTGTATTTAAAGACAAGGTCTCGCTCTAGCTCAGGCTGGTATGGAACCTGTGAGCTCAGGTAATCCACTGGCCTCAGCCTCCCAGAGTGCTGGGATCACAGGCTTGAGCCGCCACACCCACCTGCAACTATGTTTTGCACAACAAAAACAACCACCTTGTATTTCCTTGACCTAATCCCTCTTTCTGGAGGAATGTTATCTTTTCCATAAGCTACATAGATACCACTGAAAATGATAACATCAAATTAGTGCCTCTTTCAAAGGCAGCCAAACAGCCACTTCCTCAAAGGTGTTGGTTGATCCCTCTGTATCTTGTGACCAAGACACTTGGTATCCTGCCATTTATAGTTGGATGTGTAGCCTTCACTCTCCACTCAAGTCTACGTTAAGATTAGCAGGGCTTTACGAAGCTTCCCGTGCCCAGCCCCCGGTACAGGAAGACGTGATAAATGCTCAGTAAAAGAAGGGCAAAGAAAAGATGAAGAAGCAGGAAAACAAAGATTTTTTTTTTTTTTGTAGCGACAGAGTCTCACTTTATCACCCTCAGTAGAGTGCCGTGGCATCAACACAGCTCACAGCAACCTCCAACTCCTGGGCTTAGGCGATTCTCTCGCCTCCGACGCCTGAGCAGAGGACTACAGGCGCCCGCCACAACACCCGGCTATTTTTTTGTTGCAGTTTGACTGGGGCCGGGTTTGAAGCCGCCATCCTCGGTGTATGGGGCTGCTGCCCTACCCACTGAGCCACAGGCGCCGCCCCGAAAACAAAGATTTTAATGATGAGCTCAAGGACAACAAAGGTGAGTGCTGCCACCAATTACACTCAGTCTTTAACTGCATAGAGCTGTCCCTCCTAACAAGGTACAGGGTCATCTCTGCCACCTTCCTGTCAACCTTTGAGGCATGTGATGACCCCAGTAGGTACCCCTGCTTTCCCCTTAGTACTGGAAGCTCTCATCCTATTCCAATGGAATCTAAGTAAACAGGGAACTAAGTGGCTCCCGCCACCACCTTAGATGAAGCAGCCCCACCTTTGATGCTGACTGGGATCAAGATCAGGATGATGCACTCTTGGAGACGATCCAACCACATATCACTCACCTTCACCTAAAGCAAGGACCCCTACACAGAGAAACTAATATGGCGGGGGAAGAGAGTATAGAACAGGAGTGTGTACTTTCTAGAGAATGATTGAAATCCATATCTAAAAAACTCCAAATTTGCATCCAGACCAGCAACTATTCAGTAAACAAAGTAAGGCTAACTTCCACAATACCTAGAACAGTTTTATTCTAACTGCTTATTAGGGCCCATTAGCAAGTAGTGGATTTAATAGAGAGCAGAATAGAAACTAAAAAAAAAAATTACAATACTGTTTTATAAAACTTGCAATCCAGCTTTATTTTTTAACTGTGTGCGTGCGTACTAGGTCATGATGTAAAATGCATTGCTGAGAGTCAAAAATGTTCTTAAAAACACTGAAATAGAACATTTATGTTTATATAAAGTAATCTCTGCTGACTGAGCTCTTCCATTTTTTACTAGGCCATAATTGTAAGATATTTGTTCTTGCCACCTGTTGTTCACAACAGTTCAGGTTCTTCAAGTTCAAAAACAGCATATGAAAAATATCATTAGGCACACTTGACTCTTACCATTCTCCTTACTACTGAAAAGGAAGATAAAGGGCACTCTAGATAACCACCTACACTTTTTGTTCCTGGGCATATTTCTATCTCCTGTAAGTGCATGACATCAAGACAAGAGATATTAGTCCAAATGCTCCAGCTTTCATGGTCATGTTTGCTTGTAAACCCACCACTTAAGGAAACCAGTAAAGCACATTTTATTTGCACCCCGAGTGTAGCACCTCTCATCAACAGCTGCAACAATGGAAGATTCAGAACGTGGTTTAAAATATCACTTCAACCTAGGACTTTATTCCGGGATGCTTTTTCTTAAGTTCTTTTTCTTGCACATTCTTCTCAGTATTCACACTCCAAACTCCAAGTATCATCCTACCTCTAACACACATCTTTGTCCGATCTAACCCCCTATCTTCCTTATCCCCTCTGTACATTTCTTATGAAACTCAGGGTTATTTTTTAGAGGTTCCCTCAAGAGTTGTTCTATAAATGACTAAAAAAAAAAACCCCAAAACTAGAGAAATCTTATTTCTCAATGGCATCTAAGTTGTATAGTGATCCTCAATGGCTAATTTTGGCTGTCGCCAATAAGCAAAATACCCAGCCATCAACAAGCCAAAAAGTCCTATGTGGTGTGCCCACTCAAATCAGCCCTTAAAACCTATCAATATGGGAGTATAGTTTGGATTCCACCCATTTTCCAAAGAGGTCATACACATTCTTCCCTTTCGCACACAAGCACTGCCACAACCCTGGGTTTCCTCGGGTCTATTGTTTGGGATCATATACAACAGGAAAAAGTCAGAGGGAAGAAGTCAATTCACTGAGTGTTTGGGTCCCTGTCATATACACATTTATGCAGGATTCCTTGCTCTGTGGAATATAAAATATTAATTGAAATATTCTTCCCCAAAATGGAAACATATCATCCTGAAATACAAAAACAAACAAAAAAGGAAACATACGCTGAAAGTAACATATTTGTTGAATGGAATTACAACAAGTCACAACATCGAGCATAGAGGAGTATCAAAACAGTTCCTTCGACCTACAGCATCTTTTGTCCCTGCTTCCTAAACTTCATCCTTAAGGACCACAGTGACTGGCTTCGTCTTCTCTGAGATTTCCCTAAGTTCTTAGAGGGCTGGGCTCCCTTGCTCCCCCTAACGTGCAACCATCCTTTCATTCTCTCAGCAATTACAGAAGGAAATCTACTCTGTGGTCTGGACCAGGCATGGTGTTAGGTGCAAAAAATACACAAAAGATGAATAAGACTCTGTCCCTGTCTTTCAGGAGCCCAGCAAAAGAATTTGAAAGGTTTGACTCTGTGAAGGGGATGAATAGGGTTAAAAAAAAAAAAAAAGGAGAAGGCCGGGTCTGGTGGCCTAGCACTCAGGGAGGCCAAAGCAGGTGGATCACTTGAGCTTAGGAGTTAGGGATCAGCCTGAGCCAGAGCGAGACCCCACCTCTAAAAATAGCCAGGTGTTGTGACTAACACCTGTATTCCCAGCTACTTGGGAGGCTGAGGCAAGAGGATGGCTTGAACCCAAGAGTCTGAGGTTGCTGTGAGCTATGACTCCATGGCATCCTACCAAGGGAGTCAAAGTGAGACTCTGTCTCAAAAAAAAGAAAAGGAATAAATGAAGAAATGTATAACTTTAAGTCCTTGTCCTCAAAGAGATCAATCAAGTCCCAGAATGAGAAGTGAAGGTGATAAGATGCTGGGAGACTGTCAAACCAGCAAAATGGCACAATCCGGGAAGCATTCTTGTTTGCAATAAGATTACAGCCCTGTAGGATTTGGCTCTCCCCAAAAGAAAGGGGGAAGGGCAATGCAGAACACCAAAACAGCCAACGCTTGGCCTTAGAATGAAGGAGAGCTAATCGCCTGCAGATCCATCAGAACACCTGTGCCAAATGCGGCCCCTTCACCTCACCCCATTCCTCCCAAACCATCACCACCTACTGCATGAATGTCCACAAAATGTGGAAAGGCTAAAACTTAAAGTCACCTTCCCAGTCCCAGAAATAAAGGCCTAATACCCAGAGTCAACAATGAAGCAACCCGAATGGGCAAAGTGGAATGTTGGTCAAAGAGTGAAACCCAAAAATCAAACAACTGAGTAGTGGCGGGTCTGGAAAACCAAGCCCTCATGGATCACAGAACAGCCTTTGGACATATAAACAAGCTCAGATTTCCAGAACTGCCTAGAAGAGCACTCGAATATTACTCAACTGTGCAGTCAGTTTGAATATGAATATTGGGAGCAGGGGGTCTTTGTTTGAACTCCGAAAAGGAAGCTTCTGGATCTCTTAGTTAATTTTGAGTGTTAGTTCAGGCAAAACTACCTCCCATCTGAACCAAAGGCTGTGATGTGCCAACCACACCAACTCGCTGAAGTTCTTTCAAAAGGAGTCTTTCACTTGAATGTCCTTTCCAGCAGACAAATCCTGGTTTGGAATTTCTGATTCTTAAACTAGCATGGCAAGCAGGAGCCAACTATGGCCAACCACTAAAAAATGGAAAAAAAAAAAAAAGGTAAACCTTCCGTTTGGTTCTTCTGAGAGCTGGAATTGGCCACCGAAAGAAACAGTTTTCACTCCAAAAGATCAAAGAGGGCGTTTTGTACCAGGAAACTCAATTCCAAATCCTCATTTCCACGAATAAAGCCACAGTGCCCTATACTTGCTTGGGAAAATAAAACAGGAGATTCTGTGGATTCTAATTAAAATCTCTGATGGCTTTATTTCCCAGGCTCACCAGTTTAATGCTGTTAACATTTTACCTAGACATTGCTTTAACTTAAACACCACTTCCAGATCTCAATGGTCACATGTTACCACTGGTAAAAACCTAAGTATTTTAACACTTCACAACAGCATTCTCTGCCCCATCCCAAATAACAGATTTAGTATAAGACAAGGGGATGTTGAAAAATGCCAACTTCAGCCCAACCACGTCTCCCATAATTGTAGTCAGGCAAAAAAAAAAAAACCTCACCGAGCCCATGCTATTATTTTCGTCACAATATTGGAAATCAGAATAAAAGCAGGATGAAATAGAGAGGGTAAGGAGGAGTGGGGGGACGTAGGGCAACCTCACTCTATTATAACAATCAGCTGGCTTTAAAATTATTACCAGTGGTCTTGTCAATCAGCCAATAGTTCTTTTGTACCCACTTTACAAGTGCAGTAAAATATCCCCCGAGTAATCATTGTTAATGGTTATGTGTTTAATTTTATTTATCGTTTTACAAAAAAAAAGTATGTATCATGTATGTAGGTTATAAAGTCTAAAAATAAAATCAGCACCTATGAATCCATCATCTAAACCAAAAACCAGAACATCACCAATACTGTACTATGTATCATCTACCTACCTCCTCCATCCTTATTCCAAGTTCCTAAAACACACACACACACATGCATATGTGCATGAACACACAAACACACACATACACCAATACACCCTAGGTAATCATTATCCTGAACTTGGGGTTTCAGTACGAGTATGAATTCATCTTTATGACTACATCCTATTCCTAACCAGTAAATTGGCTTTCCAAATAGGGCAGTGATACATTATTTCCTCTCCAAAGATGTTGCCCTTTTTTTTCTAAGTGAAGCATTGCTTTAAAGAAAAATATTAAAGAATAGACTAAATGAGACTTAGCCATGGTAAACTCACGAGACCCCATGAATGAAGTTTGGCGATTACTGGCAAAAGTGGCTGAAAACATGGGTTTTGAAGTCTTAAAGACCTCTAGTTGAAATCCTCACTCTACTGCTCAAATTTTCCAACCCTCACTTTTCTAGAAGGTAAAAGGATAAAACATATGGTCCCTATACGGTGGTTGTGAAAATGTAATGAAAAATACATGTAAACAACTGAGCACAGTGCGTGTCACACATCCAGCACCCCCATCATTAAAATCACCCAAACATATCAAAGGGTCTTGTCATTATCAATGGTTTTTCTTCTGCGGAATTCCTAACGAGTTGGGCATGAGATCTCTTCACATAAAAATAAATCAAGGTGCAGGGATCCAACAGCCAAACAAGCCATAGACGACAGCTCCCAGTCCCAGCATTGATCCCATCTTCACCTCATGACCTTGAAGAGCAGGATCATTTTTCAAATCCATTTCTGTCCTGTTCCCCTCCCTCCCCCAGAAGGCTGGAATACTCAATCCAGCCCAGAGAATTACCTAGAAGCCTGCCACAATCATCGCAAGATTAGTTCATTCTGATTTAGGGTATGATAGAAGCATAACCTCTATTTACTGATTCAATCACTATTATCTCTCCCCTGGATGCATGAAGAAAATTTGGTAAATCACTATTTGAAAAAAAAAATCATTACAATACTATCATTCAACCTAAGTCCCTCATTTCTGAAATTAATTACTGAATATGGCACCTTCACTCTACATCCTTAGTATTCTTTTAAATTACTTAGAAACAGCAAGAAACCTGTTTGTATTCAAATAATCACTCTCTTCCAAGGTACAAAAGTTGTAAGACTACTACCTACATCAAGTTTTATTTAAAACCACCCTCTCTGTTTCAAGTAAAACTCACCAATATAGCTGGAAAAGGAGAGCATGAATTCAGTCTGTACCCATCTCAATCCTCAATTCATCTCAACACCATTCACCACCTTTGAGTATCTGCATGAGGGGTGATAGTAAAAACGCTATTATCCAACACACAATTACATCAACTTAAGGTCTACATTCCAGCTTCAAAAACTTTTGTTTTTTAACACTAAGACAGAAAACAAAAAACAAATAACTCACAAAATAAGTGATTTGATCTTAGAAGACAGGGATCCAGGTCCCATCCAGGCCTAAGATAACCTGACCCATGTCCCCACCAGTAAAAGGGATGAGGCCCATTTCATACTGAAGCAGCCTGCACATTGTAAAGCTGCATGGCAAGGCGGTGTCTGAGGTCAGCACAAGTCTAGTGTCTGCTGGCTGCCCAAGCCCGGGCCCCTGGCCAGCAACCCACCTCCAGAGACAAGTGCCAGGACATACTATAGTGTTTCCATTTAAGGCCCGCCACTTGGATCAGCCCATCTCTGAAATTTCTTAACACCACCTTTCCAGGAAGAATTTTTTTGGGGAAAAGGGAGGTGGTGTCTATTTTTTGCCACCGCCTTCCCTTGGGCTGTCAGAGCAATCTGCATCTCTGGGACAGGATTCTTTAAAACCACTGGGTTATGTCTCAATTCAAGGGTCTCTTTTCAAAAATATATAAAACATGCATAGAACAGGTTCCTTTTCCCATCATCTAATTCCTATACACCCGTCAAACAAGAAAGAAAAGCCCAATAAAATTAACAAGTCCATTGTATCACCTTGCTACCTCTCTCCAAACGCCAAATTATTGACAACTTTTAACCAAGACTTTTCTTCTACTACTAAGCGGAATGTTTTCTTCCCTAAGTAGCTTCCCTCCCCTGCGGGGAGCATTCGAGCCTCCAGGGAACAGGGGAGGTAGGGAGGGGGTCGGAGACATATCTGGCACAAACTGGACAGAGCAGAGCCGGTCTAGAACCCGACGGAAGTTACTGAATCCATCAGTCCCAGAGGCCCCTATCTCTTCCCAGCGCGCCCAAGGTTCTAGCCTCACTGTTTTGGTTACAGTGTTGAAGGAAGGGTTTTAAACTTGGCAAAGTACCGTGCAACATCTGTAACCACATTTGCCTTCTGGGGATCGGAAGATGAATCCCACATTCCTGGCTTTGAAGCTTTTTGAAACTGCAGCTAGGAAGAACGGAGGGAGGGCGGGAGTTGAGCAGAGTTTATTGGCTGTCTCTCCAGCAGAAAATTCCTCTTGGAAGAGACGGATATTTTGAGGGTGGGGGTGATTCGCCCATCTCTTTACTCTCCACCAAGCTCGGCTGGGAAGGTGAGCCCGGTGGCCCGGCGGCCAGATCGATTTACAAGTCAGAGGCGCACACCCTGAAGGAGTTCGCTACACACATACACATATACACACGCAGACACACACACACACCAGGGCGCACCGCGACCACCGCTCCACGCCTCTGCCCTCCCCAAATCCCACCAGCAGTTCAGGCCCCGAGCAAGACAGTTTTGTTCCGCGGCTGCTTCCCCCACCGAGAGGGGATCAGGCTTGGGGGAGAAAAGAATGAAAGCGAGGGGGAGGCACCGCAGACGCCCACCCTCCCGCCGCCAACCCCTGCCTCTCCTGCTAGGCTCCCTCCTCCCTCGGTCCTCCGGGCTCCAGCAGGCGCGGCCGGCGACCTGCCCTCACCTCTGGTCCCGCCGTGGCCGGGGGCAGAGCCGGGGGAGGCGG